ACGCTTAAGCCGGCCAAGCTGACAGTAATCTAGTGAGACTCCCCACAGGGATAGGCCGATCTAAAAATCTATGGAAATGGGGTGAAAGTCATGATCAACAGGGTGCACAATACCCATTCTACCTGTGGATGCAGTAGTCAATAAGCAACCCACCCCCTGGGTTTCTGTCAGAAGAAATATGATCACCTTACATAAATTGAGGTTATTTACAATACCCATATACAGTGAGATGCAGAGAGGGGGATTATTTCCCTTAATCCTAAGTAACTAAATCCATGTATACATCTGAAATTCAATAGTAGACATTTCATCCTGAGCATACTTCAAAATTATATTCAGATATTGTGCTTCACATAGTTTAAGCATAAATGGGTCTCCAGTAAGTATCGTGCCATGTTACCACACCAATGATCATTAGACTGTATCAATATATAGAAATGCCAGTGTAACTTGACAAGCTAGCTTCAACTTACCTAACTTAGGATTAACTGAGGGAAATACATGTAAATATTTATTGTGTAAATTACAATGTAGAGATAACATACCTGAGCACATGATGTCAGGTTATAGTCTTGTAAAAAATCCCTTGAACTAATGAATAATATTTTTTTTTAATTTAAAGCAATACACAGTTTATAATCCAAACCCTGGGATCTGACTATATAAGTCGCATTCACAACAGGTGATCAGCTGTTCATTGGTTTGTGGTAAAGAAATTAATAGGATGTACAGTATTATTATAAATATAGAACACACCTTTTCTTTGTAATGGTACTGTTGAGATGCTTTCAGAATGCATTTAACATTCATTTATTTCATTAATCTTATTTGTATAATTTTTCGTGGTTAACATGGCTTAAGTTGACTCTGGTATGAACTTGCCAACAGAGCTGAGGAGATCAGTTTTAAGTTACCAGTATCAGTGACCAGTTGTTTGGGCTCCTGGTCGTGTTTACACAGCATTTACCCTCCTCTTTAAACCAGGTGAGGAGTTATCTCAGGTTTCTGTAGTGCAAACACCAAGTCACTGGCAACTTCATTCAGGCTACACTATCCATAAATATATACGTAAGCATAGATCACGTACACATTCCAATAAACAGATCAGTTGCCCAGTCTCTATCTGGGTTACTGGGCAAAATCTTAATTACAGTGATGTCAGGGCTTGGACCAAATTAAACCTTCACCCTGGTATATTGGCACATGGATATAAACAGCTTCATTTGTCTTGTTGAGTTGTTATAATGCATTATAAACAACTGATCCTTGAAATTATCTGTGATGAACTTTGTGTCTTCTTCACTCACAAGAGGGGCCTATTATGTGATACCTACCAGTGTGTTGACAGTGAAAATTTCCCTAAATTACTACTCAATATAAAGTCTAACATTCTACTTTTCCAATATCCCAATTTCCATAACGTATTGAACTTTAGAGATGAAAAGATGCTATGTATATACAGAGACAAAGCTGCTACTTGTAAGTCAACAGTATGTCTTACTTTTTTCATCACTGTTAAAACATCAAAGTAAAATCCATACATGTACATGCACACTGTGCACAAACAAAGAAGAATCAATACAAAGACAACTCAAAAAGAGATGTAAAATTTTGACGCAATCTAGAAAAAGATTGCCTTGACTCCAACATATATTGATTTCTAATACCAATTTGCAAGTGACATTCATGGTATTATAAAAAGAAAAAGGTCAATAACCTACAAGAGGAGTTACACACCGGGCTAAAGACCATTTTTAATGAACACCCTACTAGGCATCATTATGTGAACTCCTCTAAAGACATTTGCCCTACTGTCTTGATAAATGCCAGAAAGCCATTCTGACTGACATTTGTGTTGCAAATCACCATAGTGATGGGGTGTGACTCTACAGTTGCCATGACCCCCAGTTTATAGATTTAGACATCTATTTCAGATCTGCACTTTATTTAATTGACTGGAAATATCCAAAGATGGCGTGTTTATAGAGGCTTAAAACAAACAGAAAGGACAGGTGTTCAGTATAATATTGTGTTTGTGTAAATAGTGCAGTATAATATTGTTTCAGGTGAGGCAAATGGACCTTTCCAGTTTTACCAATATATCTGAACTAGTGTATTTTTTTATCCTGTAAGGCCGCACTTTTTTATTTTTATGGATGACATCCTTCGCGCGCACCGATTTTCGTCCGTTCTCCAAAAAAAAAAAAAAAAAAAAATCCGAAAGGCTGGCCGCGCCCGGAAAATTTCAGTGATATTCTGTCCAAAGCAGCACATACCAGGTTTTTTTGTAGCGAAAAAAAGGGTCGACAAGAGCGTCGTGGTATTTGGTGGACTGAAGGTCGGACAGGCCGCCCGATAGTTGGTTGCTACGTGTGAGTCGAAGTAGACAAAATGGCATCGACCGAAATTACTTTTTTAGCTTTGGTAGTAGGAAGCATAGGCCTATCTTTGCTTCATTTTTTTTTAATANCAGTAAATCATAGGGGTAATGACTATGATGGAAACACTATGCCTCACACTGTTACATGTACCATAATTTTTTTTAACTGAACAAGTGTTACATATTAAATTCACAAGTTAATTAAACACTCCATTTAAGTGAACAGCTCCTCCCCAAAGCGATTACTTAACAATTAACAACAAGATGAGGGCAATTTGTAACACAAACATTCCTGACAGTTTTAATAACCTGATAGACTGTTTATCTCAACACCAAGGCACACTTAGCTGATAAGCTAATGGTCTCATGCTCTAGCTGTGGTCTAGGTACAGAACAGTATACATGTACCTCTCCAAATGAAAGAACTTTTTAAAAGATTTAACAGTTTATGCTACCATTCTATAGGTTTAATACAAGTGTTATCACACATTAGGTAACATACCCTTTTTTTTTTTTAAATCCTGATACTATCAGGATATTAATAGTTTGGCAAAGTAAGATAAAAAATATATAGCAATCCCGACAGGGAGAAAAAATGACTGCTCACATTTTATCGCTTTTACACACAATTTACTCCTGGGAGAATTTTAATTGAAACAGACTAGCTGTGGTAACAATTGGCTATTCTTGCCTACTGCTTACAACAATTTTCCCTTTTTCCTGAATTACCTATAGTCCGGCTCAACTCTATAATTCTGGCTATTATAAGGGTTGCAAGCAAAGTCACCCAGCATTAAATTGAAATGCAACCCATTATGTACAAACTACAAAGGACTGTTGGCTTTCTCAACAGTAATGGCTTCCATTTAACTCCAGTAGAAAGTTTATGCTGGGCCGTGGCAAGAGTTATATAAACATATAAACAAAAGTTCTCCTCAAAGCAAAGAAATGAACAGCAGAAATGTCTCAAAAGGCTTTAAAAAGTTGTTTAAAACATAAACACCTTTTAATTGCCCAGAAAAATCCAGTTTATAGCCCTGTATCTTTCTTGAGGTGGAATATCTACACATGTGTTCAATATACCGATACTGAGGTGTGCTTACATGATACGAGAAATTTCTCAAAACTGAAAGCTGAAGTGTAAACGCCCTATGTCAACATGAGGTCTTAACTGGAACACATGATCTACCATTTCATTACTCTGGGCCACACTTGAGGCTGAGCTTACTTATAACACCTGTGATTATGTCAAAAGAAATATTTTTAAATCATTAAAACAACTTGCCCTAGTTCAAAGTAATTTTCTAATATGTCAAGAAAATACAAAATTAATTTTAAAAATGCATTTAATTTTTAATCCCATACTTAACACACGTCATTTATCAAATGCTGATTTCTCTGCAACTTTTAATTCACATATATACATCTGTACTATATTTTCACAGCAACTGGGCATTCTTATTCCCACAAGTTTCCATGGCATCATGAGAGTGTATCAATAAACAGCCCAGGCAACAGAGACAAGTTGGGAATGATTGACACCATACCAGTGCCCTTCTCTGCCATGTGTATTTTTCATCCAGCACCTGTTCAATCTTGTCTGGACATTTCTTCTAAATAACTGCATTACTCACAGTCTATATTTGCTGTGTTCTTTTATGCAGTGTGCAAAGTAAACACAAGTGTTTTATATACTGATCTACTGCCTTTTTAATGAATTACAGTTTACACAAAGGCCACTTTCACTTTGAACTTCTTCACACTTCTTAGTGTTTGATGCCAAACAGTACACATTAAAGTAATGCTAACAGGTGAAAATTCTAACAGGTGGAGATAAATGCCAACCTACAGTAGTAGTACAAGTAGTACGTAGTACTCTGGACATTTCCACGATATTCTGGTATCATGAGCTTTCAAGCGCATTTTCTAACCTAATGCATCTCAAAAGTGTACATTTATTTGCAAGCTGACATATCGACTGCATCATGTGACTATAATGCTTTGTGCTGAATTGATGCATATTCAAAAAACGAAAGGAAGAAATTACTGCTGCTAAAAATATGATAATTTTGTTTGAAAAATCAATAAAAATCAGATTCAGCTGCATCTAACAAGGATCAGAATACTAGGCAAACAGGCGAGTAAAATATTCCACTTGCTGAAGGTGTGCTCAAATTCTAAATGCAAGAAAGTACTACTCACATTGATCTTCAGTTTCTGATTGACGATTTCGAACTCCTCATCGCTCGAAAACTCGGTTAACGGCGAGTCCTGCACCGTTTTCAACAGATGCTTGCGGTACAATTCCACGTAGACATCCTTTTTAGCGTCCGGTCCAGGAAGTTCTATGTCATTCAGTTTCAATTCTTGCCTCAGTTTCTCTTTTGTTAATGAATTAGGATCCATTTTTTTCTAAATTTCCGCGCAAACTCGTCTGGAATCCACCGGTAGATTTATGTTACTCAACTACAACACGTTGTGTACACTTTACGGGCGGAATAAATTGCTAGACAGTCATTGGCTGAATCTCAGACGATTGATTTCAGAAGCCCAATCAAATTCCTTGTTACAAAAATGGGTTTTTTTCCCACACTTTCGTTCTGCTTTTCAATCTCCGAGCCATAAAGAAGACATGAAGATCATAACGTGGAACATCAATGGTATTCGAGCAACGAAATCCCCCCTGAAGAAAGTGATAGATGATTTAGATGCTGACATCGTGTGCTTCCAAGAGACCAAAGTTACTCGTATGTTTCAAACTGCTATTTTATAATCGTCCCTCCCTCATCTTTTTCTTAGTTCTTGTGTGTGTGTGTGTGTGTGTGTGTGCGTGAGGGGTCTGCTGGGGTTTAATGGAAGGAAAACCACCCTTGTCATCCTTTTGTCTATTTTACCTCTGAGTTGATGAGCTCTCTCTCTTTCTCTCTCTCTCTCTCTCTCTCTCTCTCTCATACACACATGCACGCAATTTTACACACAGAGCCAGATGTACATGTAAAGTACCCCGGTAGAAATATGCACCCCACAAACTGAAGTTTAAATGCATTTTTTCACTCGTGACTGAATACTTATAAAGAACCAAGCTGATTATTTACAACACTAATATTTGATGCTTTGATTAAAATTAAGCCTAATCCAAAACACTCATGTTGCTTGTTATTTGATCCCTATTTGGCTAAGTTGTGAACTTAATGGGGTACAGTACATACTACAATCAGCCCAATGTACTGTACAATTTTATTTTTGTCCAGGTGACCAGTTGGATGAGCCCACTGCAATAGTTGAAGGTTACAGTTCTTATTATAGTTTCTCTAAAGTGAGAAGTGGATATTCAGGTAAGCTCCATATGAATCTTTCACACACAGAGGCATCCCAACAGTGCATGCACGTGCACACACACACATGCACACGCTGGATCTCTGAAGTTATTGCCATACACAAGGTCTGAGGGATAGGCAGCGTCTTGAACTATAATACGTAGATTTTAAGTCCAGAAATACATTTGATGAAGTTCATTCATGGTGCTGATGTTGATTGTTGGTTTCAGGTGTGGCAACCTACTGCAAAACACATGCAACCCCGTTGAAGGCAGAGGAAGGTCTGACTGGTCTCTTAGCAACCACAGGGGATGAGAGTGCTCTGATTGGTTGCTATGGTAATCATGCTGATTTCACTGATGAGGAACTACAGAGTCTGGACAATGAGGGGCGTGTGATCATTACCCAACATAAAATCAGGTATCATGTGAATCTTTGAAATAAATGTGCTAGTAATTTTCATTTTTGTTTTAATTTCTGAATCATTTAAAGATAATAAAATGTTTATTTTATTTCAATTCATATTCAAAATGAATTATAAAATTTCTAATAAGTAATCCCCGATTGGGTAGTGGAGTGTTTTTCTTGATTGGAATTTAAACAGCTCTGAAGCTGATTTTTAGCATTTTTCATAATAATATCCTATTCACTTGCATTTGCAAAATGTCAAGTTAACAGAAGTGTTTTTCTTGGACATGTCTAATACTGATATATCTATTATACTACAGGGCAGCAGAGGGCAGAGAAGAGCTGCTGACTATCATCAATGTGTACGTCCCCCGCGCTGACCCAGAGAGAGAAGACAGGCAGGTGTTCAAACAGAGGTTCTGTCAGCTTCTTCAGACCAGAGCTGAGGCTCTCGTCCATGCAGGCAGGTGAGTAGAACTCTCACACATACTTTATACAGCATTTACACGTCTGTGTATTTTCATTATTGTAAGTGCATTACACATCTAGCAGGGCAGTAGTGCCATGTTTTAAATTAAGACTGTTTTATCCCTCATGATTTTGAAGTCGCATCTGTACATATTTATATAGACAGAATTCAGATTAAGTTTTTATTTGTGCTTTCTCTTAAAAAAAGCATTTTTTTTTAATTTGAATATTATTAAGTAATTTCTCTGAGTTAAGAGTGATTTGTTAGATGCTCATATTTGTAATTGAAGGCAAGAAACTTACAAGTGATTTTTGTATCTTCATTGATATATACAGCGATTATTGTGGTATATTTATTAAATGTCTATCTATTCCCAGCCATGTCATCATACTTGGAGACCTGAACATCTCTCACAGGCAAATAGACCATTGTGACCCCGTGGAGAAGGAGGTAGGTGTGTCTTGCAGGCTATATTACTACACTAGATGTCAAATACATTGGGGTTATGTAAATTTAGATTCCACTTTGGCTATGCTCATATCTATTTTAGCCAAAAAACAAAGAAAATATTACAGTTACTGTGTCACTCCATCATGTATGTGTGTGTGTGTTTGCTAATTCACATGTGCAAACAACTGTGCACATGAGTGCATATCTGCACATGTACAAATTATTCATGCAAAAACTATATGAGCATCATCATCATGTCAATGTACAAGTTTTTTTTTTTTAAATGCAGTTCAGTAACTACAATTACCTTGAGGAAACCATATTATTGTTCTTGACATGAAAATGAATCAGAATTTGAAACTAATCTGATCAAAATATTTACTTTTAGGAATTTGATGCCCGTCCAAGCCGCAAATGGCTCAGTGCATTCCTAAAGCCAATAGGCACAGCAGCAGAACCAGCTCAGGATGTGGAAGCAGACACAGACTCTATTGTCACAGGGGGCATATTCCTTGACACGTTTCGTTATTTCCGTCCCAATGAAGAAAATGCTTTCACGTGTTGGAACACCTCCACTGGAGCTAGACAGACCAACTACGGAACCAGGATAGACTACATTCTGGCCAGTGCTGACCTCTGTGAAGGACTGGTCAAGGACTGTGTAATCTGGCCAGATATAGAGGGAAGTGACCACTGCCCAGTTAAGGCAGAGTTGACCTGCAATATTGTACAGTCTGCAAAATATCCACCCATTTGTACGAAATTTATGCCAGAATTTTCAGGGAAGCAGCAAAAGCTGTCAGAATTTTTCAGTAAGTCTGTTAAGGAGCCAAAGCATACTTCAGTGGAGTTAGTTAAATCAGAGGCCACCATTTTCAAGGAGGAATTTTGTGAAAAAGATGAATCTGTGACAGATGCCCGTACCATTACAGAGGTCAAACACAAAACAGAAACAAGACTCCTTTCCAAAAGAGCTGCACCTCTGTTAATGAAGCAGACGTCCAAAAAGTCCAAAATGCATGATAGGAAAGGCAAACAGTCTAGTTTAATGAATTTTTTTGTTTCAAAAACAATTACTCCGGCCAAAGAAAAAGGTTCTCTTGACTCTGGGATTGAAAACAGAACTTGCGTTGAAGATGGGATATTTCTTTCCCAGAACAGCGACGGAGAGGGAACTTATTCTTCACAAGAGAGCAATGAGACCTCATCAGTCACATACAGTGAATCGATATCACTACACTCCTCACAGGAAAGCAACGAAACTCCATCATCCCAGGAGACGATCAACAAAAGCCAAAACCTAAAAGACGCTTGGAAAACGATGTTGAAAGGACCACCCAAACCGCCATCTTGCAAGGGGCATAAAGAGCCGTGTGTTCTGAGAACGGTTAAGAAAGAAGGCGTGAATTTTGGCAGACAGTTCTGGTGTTGTGCCCGGCCCCAGGGACATGCTTCTAACCCACTGGCAAGGTGTGAACACTTTGAATGGCTGCCTAAGAAAAAGAAGGGCAGTTTAAAGTAGCATGTGTGCATAAAATTTCATTTATCTCTTTTTTTTTTGTAAAAGACAACATATTGAAACAGGAATTATGTGAAACAATTAGAAAATATGCAATTTAATGTGCAGTGGGATATGAAAGTTTATGCTAGAACTATAAGACTTCACTGAAACTGACATAAAAATGCCTTTTTAAAATAAAAGTGGCAATTTTATAGTAATGTTTTTTGGGAAATTTGAAGAAAAAATTCAAAAGAACATCAGGTAACAACATATGGGTAAATTATCCAGAAGATATTGAAGGATTACACTCTTGATCAAAACTGTTCTATGCACAACTAAAACTTCAGGTTGTAATTTTTTTTTATTAAATTATTCATATCCTGTAAAAAGAAAGAAAGAAAAAAATACACTTGTCTCAATAATTTTTGTGTTGTTCTACCCGTCGCTATAATACCATTTTTGGGCAATGTACTAAGTAAGTTGAATGAGGGAAGGTTTCTGCGTATACAGATAGTATTGTAGTATTGCCTCAGCTTTACACAGGAATGTCTATCAGTTCTGTAGGAACACAGGAAGAAAAAACACCAACATTTGAACATCTGATACTGTTGTGTGTTTCTTTGGAGTGAGAAAACTGGTGCAGCTGACCCCTGAATATGGCTTTAATATCTGCAACCAGCTCCTAAAGGAAGTTTGCCTCAATATTGCTTGATGGGGAGGTGTCTGGGTGCAACCTCTATTCCATAGCTATAACCTGTTACACAGATGTTACCTTCTATTGTGCGACATAATGTTAACATGTTCAACAGTATCCAACACTGAACAATTACGTAAACCACAGCGACACAACTTCCTCCATGATATTTCGATACTGAAGATGACGAGAACTTCTCAAAACTTCAACACCTACAACAAACATTCAGTTTTAATCAAATTATTGTGGCCCATGACATGAATAATTTATACTGTCTCTCTTTGTATATTAAATAAAAACAAATATCCCTGTGCATCAAAATGCACACACGCACAAAAGAAAATCAAAATCCCCACATATCAGCTGCAGCCGATGCTATACAAAAGTACTTTTCGCTCCTCGAATACCAACTTTTTCAGCAAAGTGGTCCAATAAACTAGTGAGTCCCCCTGAAGGATCTGGTCCATTCTTAAAGCCTATAGTCACACTGTACACATTGTGGAATATTTTCCTCACTCTGTCCAGTTTTTGCATTCTGGGAGTGCCTTCATTGGATTCTGTCATCTCGGTGATCTCCGCACACCTGGGAATGGAGCAAAAAAATGAATAAAAAAATGAACCAGGCAAAAAACTTTCATGTTGCACATTTCTTACCAGTCTAGCTGTAAACAAATGACTTGAAGACTAAAATGACTTAAGTTCCAAATATACATTATGTTTGACTTCTTGGTATAATTCAGAGAAATCCACCACAAGTTATATAATGAATGAACTGAGTAAATTTACAAAAGAGCATTTATGTAGAAATCTGTCCGAATGTTGAATATAAAATAAATAAATATAAATATATATGAAAAAAGGTACAATATAATGATATTAAACAGATGGAGATGCACCCACCAACTTGTCCTGCTGTCCATACTGATATTGTGATCAGAACCTGACGCTTTGGGAGAGTCCCTGAAGGTGGCCGCATCCTTCAGACTCCCTGTAGCCGAGATCACTTGCCAACTGAAAATGGTGGGTGAACATACAAGTAAACTATGTAGTCTAATTAAGAATCAGAGATGTGTGTAAAATTTGTACTCTTTGCAAATGGGAAAACTCACTATCTTTAAATGTTATGGTAAGAGAGATGCTTCTTTAAATCCGTAACTTGCAAAAAGGCACTGTTGAAAATGAAGATCAATACCTTGACAATATATTGATATATTCAAGGAAAATTTAAGAAAATATAAATTATTGTGTAAAATACCACCTAGCTAATTTACTGTATTACACATTAAGAGGCTTCAACCTGAAGAATTATATTTTAGTAACAAACACATCTGATCCATTGACAGAAACAGTTCTTACCTTCCACAAGCTGGTGAATTGGCAGCCTCAGCTAAACTTTTCTCTCGTAGTCTGCTTCCGCTTGGCACTGGGACCGCCGTGGTACTCGCCGTATACGCCACGCCATGGTAACTGCCTGGTGTGCTACTGGAAGACTCGGAGCTCAGCTGGTGACGACTAGTGGGCGATTTTCTGTGAAAACTAACTGAGGGCACGCCACTGCTGGGAGGATACAACAGATTGACAAATAAAAGGAAACTTGGTCAAAATGTCAGCAAAGAATGACAAATGTATCATATATATTTATCAGCAACAAAGCACTCACAGAGCATTTCTCATCTGTATACGTATCTGTTTACCTGTGACATGTCTCACATACTGATACATGCCTTTTGTCTTTATTTCAATAAATTACGAATATATTTTTCAGTGTAAATCATAAACAAACCATCAGTCACCCATGAAATGCCTAGTTAATATCCCTCACCTGCTCTGTATAAAGGAGTCCTCCTCTGGACTACCAGCTGTGAAGAACATTGGTGCATTGTCCACACTACTCCTATTGCTAGTGATACTGCTAACACTGTTAATACTGGTGGTACTACCACAACGACCATAACGGATTGTGGTGTCAGAGGCATCTGAAATATGGCAGATATATATATTGTATGTTTACAATGGAATGAGTAAATAAACCAAGGTAAGCACTATTAGTGTAAAATATTGCACTGAAAAAAAAAGTAATCATTTTAACTGATTTAATTATTATTTCTGGAGACAGAGCTCAATAACATTTTCTTACAAGATACAAAACATCAATGATGCATTCTTCAACAGAAAATTGTAAAAAAAAAAAAATAGCATTCTTTAATTCTACTGCATTTCTTTTTGGTGCGTTAAATAACCTAACATGTGACATTCTGCATCAAAATGTCTGTAATACCATATTTACAGCATTATTTCAATTATTTGTAGCTCCAGACCAGTAATGAATCCACTTGTTCAGTCTCTTACCTAATAGAACCCCTTCAATATTGCACTCAGAATCTGCCCTACTCACTGCCCTAGACCTAGGCCTGAAATAGTGAAAATCATACACTTACTGCATTACAAACTCATGAGCTTCATTCACTAATTTTTTTTTCTTTCACATAAAGTCTATTTTTTTTACTCCCTGTGAATGTTCAAAAAATAATACTGTTGTGTGTGAAACTTTAAATATGACATAGTAAAAATTAGCATTTAAATAAAAACCTTGAAAGACTAAGTTTGATTCTACATATTCATTTGCATATTAACATAAATTATGCTTGCACATAATATCGTATAAAAATGTGGTAAGGATATGCTGATTATTACAATAATCAACTCACTTTTTTGCTAAAGAAAATTCTTCTGACTGGATATACCCCAAGAAATAAAAACAAAAGAATAAAATCTGAAAGAGAAAAGACAACATTATCAGCTTAGATCAATATAGTGATCAACTCATGTGCTAAGGACTTAAAACAGTTTTCAAGTGCTTATATCAACTTGTAAAAAATACTTTTGCCACTTTAGTACCCTCAAGTTATATATTATAAAACATTCACTGAGTAAAAAGTCTGATAATACATGTAAATCAAAGTATAATGTAACAGCTTCTGATGATCTGAACTAAGACAACACAGTAAAAAAAAACTACATGGACATTGAGCAAAGCACGGTGATATCTACCTCTTCTCCTCTAGCCAGTCTGTCAGGCAGGTTGTGACTGAAATAAAGACAGGTGAACTATAATTAATAACCACATGTACCCATCAAAAATGCATCAATATGATAGACAAGTATCTTACTCCTCTCAGTGGAAAGGAAAAATAGTATCCAGTCCCCTTTAATCTGTGAAACAACTCTGATCTAAACATGCTGCTGCTGAAGCTTCCATTCTGTCCAAGGGAGAAGGTTGATGAATAATTTGTGAATGAAAAGTGGATAATATAAACATGTCACTTTTAATATAAAATGTCAATAGCTTAATTACTCACCCAAACAAATACCAGTCATAGGCCACTGTTAGGTAGAGTATTTCCATTGCACTAAGAGAGGAATGCACCAGACCGTCCGCCCATAGAGACAGGCGGAGTAGAGATACAAACAGAGGGGTGCGGTCCCACCCTGATATACAGTGAACCAGGACACCACCCTCTACTGAAATATATAAATAATTTTGATATACCCCTTTCTCAGATAAAAACGAATTTAAATTTAAGATACATAGACAAAATTATTCCACATATTTTTTCCATAAATTGTTTGTTTCCAGAAATCAATATTTACACACACACATACACAATTGTGTTAAAATTCACCCCACTATTGCAATAAAACAGTCTTAAGTTCCAGTCTGAATAAAAATTTCTGTAAATAAGTACATGACAAACGCATGGTTGTTGAAAAAGCAGGAATACATTTACTAAAAACTTCACAGCGTTTACCTTCTTTAACATAGTGTAATAAGAGCTTCAGGTAGCTTCTTGTTAACATTATTAGGTCCCATTTCTGAAAGAAAAATTAAATATTTTCATAAACGGTTATTCCCACAGCCATCAATCAATCAATTATACATTCACATGTGGAAAATCTCAAGCAATGTGGAAAGTCTTATCCTCAAAATTTAAAATACAAATGGTACAAACAATCAAAACAGTAGGCCAAATTGATATTTCAAGAAGAACACAAACCATCACAATGAAATATTAGATACAATCAAACAAAGTCTAATTAAGATGAAAAAAAAATGCTTATTTGTTCTTTAAAACCAAGTGCTGGTTCAAACAGAACAAATATTACTGACAAGTGGTCTTACTTTGTAATTATGCCAGTCTAGAGAACCCAGCTGTGGAGATATGCAGCCCATTGGGATATCTAGGTGAGCGTCTACAAAACTCTGTCCCCAGTCAAATATTAAATCCTCAGCGGAGTAATTGTGCTCTCTCCAGTCATGGAAAAATTCACAGCCTGCAGTTCAACAAAAATGTGCATTTATATTTTTTAAATAAGTTGTTTGTGAATTGTACAAATTGTACAACAAAGCTGGCACGTGATTACTTACTTTTTAATGATGCAATTAAAAGGGATATCTTATATGTGTTCGAATGTATCAACGACCTCTTAAGTATTTTTCTTCTTTCACAGTAAGTTACACTTATTTCTTGTAAAACTTATTTTTTAATTACCAGGGACAGGCACCAGTTAACATATATATCTATCCGTTAACTTACCTGGATAAGGCAGTGACACTATCTTAAAGTCTGCATATCTTTTTTCTTTGTCCACTTTTTCTGAAGATGTGATACTGAAAAAGGGAAATGTAATAGACATGCGAGTAGCTCAGTGTCAAATATTCAAGTTCAAGGTACACATTATGTGTTCAAATTCAAATGTATATTTACTGACCATGAAGAACTGTTACAGAAATGCTTAATTACTATTTTTCTCCATTTAGTTTTTTCTCATACTGTTACACCAACTTTTTAAAGCATGTTATAATCTTTAAAGAGAGGATTTCTCCGCATTTTATCTGAGAAAATTTCATTCAATTTGCCATTTCATAGATATTTCCATACCTCATTCCAAACTTTTGTTTCTTCTTCTCCACCATCAGATCACAGATATGGGAAACTTTCAGCATTTTCAACAGCCTGATATCCTGACCCCTGGTTTTATTGAACAACTGCCAGTCACTGGAACCAGAACAATGCAAATATCTCTTTTATTTTCTCTCTCTCCCTTTCTCATTCTCTCTCACACATACACAGAGCAAAGTAGTGCAGCTATATCATTATGCAGAAGAGATAACTTTGGTTCTATTTAATTAAATGAGATTCTATTAATCACAAAAACTGAGAAATTTCATTCATATACGTTTTTTCATTTCATTATGTAATTTTCTTTTAACAGAACTAAACACAAACTGTTCATACCCAACAACAAAAACAACAAAAATGAATTGTTTTCCGCTTATTTTTTTCTTCAACAGCAGTAAAATGCAACCTACTTCATCATGTCTTTAAATGATTCTAATTTCTTTCAGGGAACAATGGTATTTTGAATGACTTAGTTCTTGGCTGTACACAATGATAAATGTGTGCAGTCTTGTATGAGCCCCATGCTTTACCTTCCATCGCGACTCTCTGTATTGGGAATACATTCCTCGACCTCCTCAGGGATACGCTCGCCACCTACAACATGAACAGAATAAACATTACTAGAAAACCACTTGGAGAGTGCAGACCTCTGCCAGTACAACTTATTTCTCATTATTAAATTATTCATGCATCAGCACCAAAATCTAATCATTTTGGAGCCTATTCTTGACCTATCCTGAAAATATAATCATACTCTGTCCAATTGTTTTTTTTTTTTTTTTTTGTTTTTTGGGGGGGGGGGGGGGAGCAAGGAAAAACAGACTACAAAAGATGAGAAACTCCATCAGTTAAAAAATATCAACTGTCATCCTCAGGAGAAATTCCAAGAATTGCTGTAATTTCCTTCGCATTTTACTGTTTAATCAATTCCTGCAGCTTAATAGTCTACCTAATGGTATAGAGACAGACAGAAGCTATATGGAAAGACAACATTAAAGAGTGGACAGACAAGTGCTTTTTCCAGACCCAGGCATTGGCAGACCAAGGCATAAGGAAAATAAAAGCTAATTATATATAATTTAGTGTCATCATTGCTTCTCCATGATTCCAAACCACAAAAAGAGAGAGAGAGTGAGAGAGAGTGAGAGAGAGAGCGAGAGAGAGAGAGAGAGAGAGTCTACCTGTCATGAAAGCATCAAAGAAAGCTCTGCCGTAGATCTCGGCTCCCCCTGATATCGTGGCTGATCGACACACAGTCTGAAAGCAAAATGATCAATGCTCTTACTTCTGCTACATGTCATTACATTTAGTAGTTTTGTTTACAAACCAGAATCAAGTGGTTAATTTCGTTGACAAACTGAAATCATGTATTGTCTGAATATAAAAGGCCTTCAACAGTATTCAGGTGAAAAAGTGTATTATTTTCTTTTAAATTAACTGTTATTTATTTACTGTTTTTTGTTCTGAATCTAGCTCAATATTTTGATAGTCTTAACTTTCAAACCCAAATGACTACAATAAATCTTATTTCACTTATGAGATGTAACATCATTCATGTGACCAAGGATACTTACTTTTCCCTTATAAAGTATGACTGGGGCCACAAATCTCCCCCTGCATCTGGCAAACCTTGTCTTCATGAACAATTCTCTCATCTTAGGGAGGTCGTAAATACTCTGTACACTAAAAGAACAGGACAGCATGTCAATTATACAATAATTAATAAACATCTGCAGAAGATAAACTGTTGCTTCAAATTAATATCAGTTATCAGCATCTTCTTTTCAAGGTGATATAATATTTAAAATATGGTACATAATTCAGGGGCGTATTTATGCCGTCTTCTGGGTCTTCCGGAAGACAGTCAGATTTTCAAGTTTACATTGATGGGTATCTAATTTTTTATCTGGATGGATCAACAAAGATAATTTGGAAGACTGTCAGAAAATAGCTCTGTATCCGCCCCTGTAATTTCCCAGGCATGTAAAAAATTATTTCAAGGAGAGTTCCTTTTCCTTTTTCAAACTGTCCATGTGCCCAAACTTGAGAAGTGGTTTAGAACATTGTTTTAAATTTTGATTCAGAGAGGACCCTTCCTGGCTAAAAGGGCAGTTATTTCAAGCCCTGCCCCCATTCCAATTAAGGGCCATTTCCCCCAAAACTTAAATTAACCTATACTAGGTATATATTATACTCTTTTGGCAATCATAGCAATACAGGACATTACTCCACACATTTACAACAAAATAGTCACTTCTTAACTTGTAACTACATTGTACAGTAGCTGTCCTGTGATAATGTAAAACATACAAGCAACTTTAAATGGAGAGATAACTTACTTGTCTTGTCTCTGGTCCTCCTCCTTACTTCTCTCATACTCCAGGAGGACCAATTTGGCAGGATAGTGACTGCATAGGTCACCTGTGTTGTTAATCACCTTATTGAATAATAATAATAATAATAATAATAATAATAATAATAATAATAATAATAATAATAATAATAATAATGATAATAATAATAATAATAATAATAATGATAATAATAATAATAACNCAATAAAAGACTTCTGTACATAATTATATGACTGACACATGGTTGAGGAAAAAGTAGGAGTACACCTAAAAACCTTATAGTGTTTACCTTCTTTTACATAGTGTAATAAGAGCTTCAGGTAGCTTCTTGTTAACATTATTAGGTCCCATTTCTAAAAGAAAAAGTAAATATTTTCATAAACGGTTAATTCCACAGTCATTGATCAATCATACACAAACATTCACATGTGGAAAATCTAGAGCAATGAGAAAAATTTTATATCAGCTAATTTAAAATACAAATGATATAAACAATCAAAACAGTAGGGCAAATTCATATTTCAAGAAGAACATAAATCATCAGCCCGAAATATTAGCTACAATCAAACAAAGTCTACTCAAAATGAATAAAAAAATGCTAATTTGTTCATTAAAACCAAATGCTGGTTCAAACAGAACACAAATCACTAACAAGTGGTCTTACTTTGTAATTATGCCAGTCTAGAGAGCCCAGCTGCGGAGATATGCAACCCATGGGGATGTCGAGGTGAGCATCTACAAAACTCTGTCCCCAGTCAAATATCAAATCCTCAGCTGAGTAATTGTGCTCTCTCCAGTCATGGAAAAATTCACAGCCTGCAGTTCACCAAACATGTGTATTTAATTTTAAATCATAAGTTTTTTTTTTTTTTTTGTGAATTCTACAAACTGTTCTACAAAGTAGGCATGTGTTACATGTTTTCTTATGATGCAAATAAGAGATAACTTAAAAAATGTAAATTAAAATATATTAATAACCCTTTCAGTCTTTGGTCCTTTTTCTTTCACATCAATATTATTCTATTTGCTCATTTTTTATTACCTGGGTAGGTACTGGGTCAGGTGTACCATTTTTTTCTACTTACGTTCACATTATTTTCATTCATTTTTGCCCTTGTTTTTATGCATTCATTTGCTGCATTCATTCATTTCTTTATTCATTCACTTAATCATTTACCTATTCATCTATTTAATATCCATTAACTTACCTGGATAGGGCAGTGAAACTATCTTAAAATCTGCATATCTTTTTTCTTTGTCCACTTTTTCTGAAGATGTGATACTAAAAAAGGGAAACAGAATTTATAAACAACATGTTCTGAGCATAATGAGTCAAATATTCAAGATGTTTTTAATATGTATTAGTAAATCAAGTAAATCAAGTTTCAAATTCTAAATCTACATTTTAACTTGTACTATAAATAACTGCTACAGAATATCTTTATAAATTCTAATTTCTTCTTTTGCATTTTAATACAAAACGAAAGCAAGTTATTAACTTGAAAGAGAACAACAGAATCGTCATTTATCAAAATGTTTCTCCATTTCACCTGAGAAAATTCCATTCAATTTGCCATTTCATATATATATATATATATATATATTTCCAATACCTCATTCCAAACTTTTGTTTCTTCTTCTCCACCATCAGATCACAGATATGGGAAACTTTCAGCATTTTCAACAGCCTGATATCCTGACCCCTGGTCTTGTTAAACAACTGCCAGTCACTGGAACCAGAACAATGAAAATATCTCCTTTATTCTTTCTCTCTCTCTCTTTCTCTCACATACACACATGCACAAACACAGCAAAGCAGCTATACCATCATGCAGAAGAGGTAACTTTGGTTATATTTTATTAAAAGAGATTCTATTAATTGCAAATACTGAGAAATTTCATTCATGTAGTTTTTTAAACAGAACTAAACACAAACCATTCATATTCAGCAAAAAAACGGAAAATAAAAATATTTCATTTTTTTTCAACAGCAGTAAAATGCAACCTACTTCATCATGCCTTATATGATTCTAATTTCTTTCAGGGAACAATGGTATTTTGAATGACTTAGTTCTTGGCTGTACACAATGAAAAATGTGTGCAGTCTTGTATAAGCCCCATGCTTTACCTTCCATCGCGACTCTCTGTATTGGGAATACATTCCTCGACCTCCTCAGGGATACGCTCGCCACCTACAACATGAACAGAATAAACATAACTAGAAAACAACTTAGAGAGTGCAGACCTCTGCCAGTACAACTTATTTCTCATTATCAAATTATTCATGCATCAGCACCAAAATCTAATCATTTTGGAGCCCTTTCTTGACCTATCCTGAAAATATAATCATACTCCGTCCATTTTCTTTTTTTTTGAGCAAGGAAAAACAGACTACAAAAGATGAGAAACTCCATCAGTTAAAAAATATCAACTGTCATCCTCAGGAGAAATTCCAGGAATTGCTGTAATTTCCTTCGCATTTTACTGTTTAATCAATTCCTGCAGCTTAATAGTCTACCTAATGGTGTAGAGACAGACAGAAGCTATATGGAAAGACAACATTAAAGAGTGGACAGACAAGTGCTTTTTCCACACCCAGGCATTGGCACACCAAGCCATAAAGAACAGAAAAGCTAATTTAGTATGTGGAGTTTCATCATAGCTTCTCCATGATTCCAAGCCAGTGAGAGAGAGAGAGAGAGAGAGAGAGAGAGAGAGAGATGGAGAGAGAGAGCCTACCTGTCATGAAAGCATCAAAGAAAGCTCTGCCGTAGATCTCGGCTCCCCCTGATATCGTGGCTGATCGACACACAGTCTGAAAGCAAAATGATCAATGCTCTTACTTCTGCTACATATCATTACATTTAGTAGTTTTGCTTACAAACCAGAATCAAGGGGTTAATTTCGTTGACAAACTGAAATCATGTGTTGTCGAATATAAAAGAAGGCCTTCAACAGTATTCAGGTGAAAAAGTGTATTATTTTCTTTTAAAATAACTGTTATTTATGCACTGTCTCATGTTCTGAATCTAGCTCAATATCTTGATAGTCTTAACTTTCAAACCCAAATGACTACAATAAATCTTATTTCACTTATGAGATGTAACATCATTCATGTGACCAAGGATACTTACTTTTCCCTTATAAAGTATGACTGGGGCCACAAATCTCCCCCTGCATCTCGCAAACCTTGTCTTCATGAACAATTCTCTCATCTTAGGGAGGTCGTAAATACTCTGTACACTAAAACAACGGGACCGCATGTCAATCATACAATAATTAATAAACATCTGCAGAAGATAAACTGTTGCTTCAAATTAATATCAGTTATCAGCATCTTCTTTTCAAGGTGATATAATATTTAAAATATGGCACATAATTCAGGGGCGTATTTATGCCGTCTACTGGGTCTTCCGGGAGACAGTCAGATTTTCAAGTTTACATTGACGGGTATCTAATTTTTTATCTGCCGGAAGACGGTCAAAATGGAGGATGGATCAACAAAGATAATTTGGAAGACTGTAAGAAAATAGCTCTGTATCCGCCCCTGTAATTTCCCGGACATGTAAAAAATTATTTCAAGGAGAGTTCCTTTTCCTTTTTCAAACTGTCCATGTGCCCAAACTTGAGAAGTGGTTTAGAAAATTGTTTTAAATTTTGATTCAGAGAGGACCCTTCCTGGCTAAAAGGGCAGTTATTTCAAACCCTGCCCCCATTCCAATTAAGGGCCATTTCCCCCAAAACTTAAATTAACCTATACTAGGTATATATTATACTCTTTTGGCAATCATAGCAATACAGGACATTACTCCACACATTTACAACAAAATAGTCACTTCTTAACTTGTAACTACATTGTACAGTAGCTGTCCTGTGATAATGTAAAACATACAAGCAACTTTAAATGGAGAGGTAACTTACTTGTCTTGTCTCTGGTCCTCCTCCTTACTTCTCTCATACTCCAGGAGGACCAATTTGGCAGGATAGTGACTGCATAGGTCACCTGTGTTGTTTATCACCTTATTGAATAATAATAATAATAATAATAATAATAATAATAATAATAATAATAATAATAATAATAATAATAATNGTCATATTGTTTAAATACTGTTGCTACGTCAATATTGATCTTTAAATTAGGAGTCAGGCTGTTTTAACAGTTTAGCAAAGTTGAAAGTAGCCAGGTCATGCTGATTCTTTCTTAATTTCAAAAATGAAAGTAACAAAGATGCATGTTGTTTATCACCTGATTACTTGTTATTTCCTTTCATAGTTTTTGCTTTACTTTCAATTATAATAATTATAACAAAATAAACACTCTAAATCCATTTAAAGAAAGGGAAAGACAGACCTAAAATCATGACACCATTACTTACGGAGAATTTGTAGTCTCTTCCAAAGAGCTGCAAACATTTATCCAGTGCATTATTGTTCTGAAAAGACAAGATTTATAACACAATGTGTATGGCATCATAAATCACCACAAGGCTATGATGTCTTGTGTATCAAATGCTGAATTACAGTCTTGAACATACCATACCAGTAAGCTCCAGGCCAGTCATTTCCCACCCCGGCAAGTAAAATAGTATATACTATGCTTGAGTATGACATCCCTTTGGTGTGTTAGAAATAAATAAATGCATCAACTAAATTAAGAACTTGTAGGTATCCTAATTTTCATGAGGAATTGTAAGGGTTCCTTTTTTAATTAAAAAAGATCAAACTGTCCTTATTATGAATAAAAATATAGCAATAGGACTTCTAGTTTTTCAGACATGCTTTTTCAGGCAAGTAATACGTACTAGTACTTGAAATCTACCAGCATGAACATGGATGACCGGTGATAAAAAAATGGCAGTATTGGTAATTCACTGTCACCTCTTCCTACTACGGCAAAGTGCCATAAACAGATATAATTATAATCATCTACATGCCTGTGTACACACACACACACACACACACACACACACACACACACACACACACAGAGCTCAAACACTCTGAACTCATTTTTGTTAGTTAAACCAGCAGGTTACAAATATAGAAAAATGAACATTTATCACTAATCTATAGTATCACAAACTATTATGACAGTTATTACATATCAATCTTATCTCTGACCCATACATAGCTTTGTACATTAATATTTCAATAATATACTACACACTATTCTATTCCATTATATCTGAAGTGCCTCTAATGCAGACACTGAATATCAAGTCCTGCTGAGATTACCATGCATCCGTAAATTTCAAGTAATAAAAATCAATATCTATAAGTATTTTTAGCACAAAAATGTAATTACAGAATATTTTTATATGTGTTTCCAAAAATAAATTCAAGATCAAGTAATCTTGCTGTAAAATTCCAAGGGAAAATAGCCAGTCTTCAACTTTCAGAGTAAGATACAGTCTAACCCATTGAGAGCAGTACTAAGTGTTATATATACTGGTACATTATGTACTAGTCTATGCATTAAATGACCAATACAAAAGTCTTAATATGTAAATAAATTAGTATTAACAAATTTTAAAACTATGAAAAAAGACTTTGAGACATTTTTTACATCATCTACAAGTGCTGTATTTCATGAAAGAATTCAGATTAAAAAATCATGTATTTCATGTAAAAATGCTTGTCATGTTCGCCTTTATATACTAAACTTAATTCATATAACTATACTCATATAAAATGTTCAGCATCGTCTCCTATGTCATAAGGTCTAAATAGCCGGTTTACACCATATCATATGGATGCTGGCAAAGGTTCAGAAACTGTTCCAGAATAACTCTGTACTAGAATCTTGTTAGTATCTTGTTATTTTATAACATTTACCCTCTTTTCGTGGAAATTAAAACTGTGTCATTCAACTTCGACTTAGCCATATGTTTCTTTTCTGTGTCAAGAACATTTCAGGACCAGTAAAACAAATTACATCTGTTTCAAAAAACAAGAAACACCTGTGTTTTTTATACAACTCTGCTAGTTTCTTTGAACAATAAACGACAACATGGGTATTTTTCTCGATCACAGCCCTACCATTGGATCATTATCCTTTGCTCGATAAACGTTCTTCGACATGTGGTCGATCAGTCGTTTAATGTCGTCAAAACCGACCTCTTCTCTTAGCTCAGTCATTTTAAGTGGCCTTATCGTCTGTGCGCTTACAAATCGTTAAAGACGCCCCCACTTCCTCATCTTCCGCCGTCTGACATGATATTTCACTTACCGCGCATGCGTTTGTTTTGACATATGCATCGGAAGTTCTCATTGGTGATTTAGGGGAAACCACGTCCAATGAAAACAAGTGTAATAAATTTTAGTAAAATAAAATCTAGGTCAATCAGTGTCGGGTTCAAGGTCAAAATAAGATGCAACAACGTGTGTTCTGTAATAAGTCTGGTTTTACATAAAATAATGAGCTCATTAATACGAAGAGTTGCCTGTGGCATGTCAGGAGGAGTGGACAGCGCAGTGTCTGCCTTCCTGTTGAAACAGAAAGGTTAGATTAAATTACACTGACGTTTTACATTTAGTCGGCTAGTGCATGTCAGTTTACTACATACATGTACAGTACACATGTACAGTAGTTTAATGCAGTGTCTTTAACTTTGTATGTTTACGTCTGAATGATTGACGACAGTATATGATTTATAATGCAGCATATCTGTTGTGCATTGTTCTGCTGTTGTACTTCTTAGGTTATGAAGTTCTAGGTGTATTTATGAAGAACTGGGATGGGAGAGATGAGACTGTTGTGCATTGTTTCAATGTTGTACTTCTTAGGTTATGAAGTTCTAGGTGTATTTATGAAGAACTGGGATGGGAGAGATGAGACTGTTGTGCATTGTTTTAATGTTGTACTTCTAGGTTATGAGGTTCTAGGTGTATTTATGAAGAACTGGGACGGGAGAGATGAGACTGGTTTCTGCTCAGCTGATGAAGACAGGGAGTATGCTCAATATGCCTGCAGTCACCTGGACATCCCTTTTATTGAGGTCAACTTTGAGAAGGACTACTGGCATAATGTGTTCTGGTGAGTGGATTATTATTAATATTATAAATGTGGGGTGATAATTGTACTGTACTACATGTATTTACATGTTCGTTTAACTGAAGCAAGCTGGGGTCATTAGAATTTAATAGGTAATCATGGCCCAATGCTAATTAAAATTTAGCTAAGGAAAATGTGAAATATTTGCCTGTCATTACCAAACTTTAGTTTTGTTTTTGCTAAAGGTTAGAATTATCCATATTGTACCTAGATATTTCCCAAACACGTTAGTAATAAAAATGGGAAATTATATTCCTATTAGATGTAGATACATATGTATATACAAGTGTTTAGCAATATTTAGCTTTTAAATTTTAGTATATTTAAAGTTACAAGTTTTATATTAGACAGTAAACTAGCTGAATTATGTTATTTTCATTGACAGTGAACTTATAGAAGAATATGAAAATGGCCTGACACCAAACCCAGATGTTTTATGTAACAAGCACATAAAGTTTAACAAATTCTTCAATTATGTCCGAGAGGAGCTTGGGGCAGATGCACTGGCCACGGGTCATTATGCCCAGTCCTCTGCTGGACCTTACCTGGAGAATCTGGACACTAGCAAAGGTCAGTTTTTTCTTTCTTTATGTATTATTATTATTATTTATTTATTTATTTATTTATTTATTTATTTATTTATTTAAGTGAACCTTGACATTTTGTCAACTTTTCAGTTGAAGATGGCTGATGTTGATAGATTTATAAATCATTAAGTGAAATAGGCCCCATTCAGAATAGGGGACTAACCAGTGTGACTCTGAGGGTCAAATATGGCAACCCATTACAAAGCTTGCCATCTAATCCACTAAGAGACACTGAATAGATATCCCGTGGGGAAGTATTCAAGTGGGTCTGCCATATTTGACCCTAGAACTAGTTAGTCCTCTATTATGAATGGGGCCATATATTTATATGACATCATTTCATCTATGCTGCATGATAGAATGTTTTTTTCTATTGCAGGGGTCAAACTACTCAAAGCTGCAGACACTCTTAAAGATCAGACGTTGTTCTTGTCACAGATATCCCAGAAGTCCCTGCAGAGGACCATGTTTCCTCTCGGTGGACTCCTGAAGACGCAGGTCAAACAGATGGCGGTTAGTGCTGGCATGGAGAAACTGGCACAGAAAAAAGAGGTTTGTGATTTTTAAAGCATTTTTTTCAGTTTTCACTAAAGTAAAGTAGAGATAATTTGAATATTTTTGAAATTAGTATTTGAATTTTGAGTGAATATTTTCAAATGTTATTGATTTAAAGAAAATTTACTGTGTGTTGAGTATTTAGGCATTGTTTATATTCTAAAGTATTGGTATTTTTCTTAGCTTTCACTTTCCTGTATTGCAGAAAACCATTGGCGTGTGTTTCAGTTTGATCTAGTTAATTTCACCACTTGCTTGTTTATGTTCTTTAGAAAGCTGTCTGATTTAAATGCATTTATATTCACAATTCTAGAGCATGGGTATTTGTTTTATTGGGAAAAGGAAATTCCAGTCATTTTTAGAAGAAGTAAGTAACAATTTTTAGATAAAGCAGTAAAAAGAATGGATTAGTCAAAATTTCAAGTTAATAATATTTTTCATATTAAAATTGTTTTTCTTCATTAAATTCTCTAAGTTTTGTATACATGTAGGTAATTAAAAGCTGGTGTGCAAACATATGAACCCTTCAGAATTACTCTTAGTATCAATTGTTATTCTTATTTTTATTAAATATTTATAATTTTTCCCTGTATACTTTCGGTGATATTAGTTATGATATATAGCATAAGTCATAAAGAGAGAGGAATTTGAAAGAATGCAAACCTACACCCATGACAGATAACACACATGAGATTCACGAAAAACATTTTAAAAACTATTTCTATCATATTTGTTTAAAGATTTACTATTTGGTTATATGATTCCAGTATACAGAACCCTGGCATTAAAAAAACTATTTCCATCATGTATGTTTAAAGATTAGTTAAATATTTATATGATTCCAGTATATAGAACCCCGACCAGGAGAGTTCATAGACATAGAGACGGGGAAGGTGGTGGGCAGTCACAAAGGTGTCCAGTTCTGGACAGTTGGACAGAGGTGTCACCTGGGAGGGATGCCTCATGCTTATTATGTGGCCAGTATTTGTCCAGAGACACAGCAGATATTAGTGGTCAGTACGGTTTGATTTTACAGCATTTTTAGTGGTCAGTTTTTAAAAAAATATTTTTCATATAATCCGAGGTCACCGAGCAAGTGGTACTTTAAATTTATTGTTAATCAAACCATATTTAAAGTCCATCATTATTACTTTGTAAAAAGAAAAAAAAAAAAGAAATGAGTTTCTTTCGAGAAATTCACAATTGAAGTTATTTTATGTTCTTGAACTAAAATAAAATGTTTCAAACATCAGCAAAAAATTTAACATCGTAGCTTGGCCTCCCTTTAATTGTACAAACCAACTCACTCTTGCTATAAGCATATATACTGGGGACCTGGGTATATCATTATAATTATCCCCATTCCAGGCCCCAGGAAGTGACCACCCAGCCCTGTACACTGATTTATTTAAAGCTGGGCCACCCCACTGGATACACAGTGAGCCTGCACTCTTACAAGCCATGCATAAACAGGAGTGCGACTACTTAATCCAAAAAATGGACTCACTAACGAGGTGTACGTTATGGAAGCCTTTTAATGGACTGGAGGAGCTTGAAGTCCACTGTTCCCGTACTGCCAGGGCTATAACGCCAGGGCAGTACGCAGTGTTCTATCTAGGTGATGAATGCCTAGGAAGTGCCAAAATACTATCAACTGGACCTTCTATGTTTGACCTTGACAATGACCCAAAGGATAATGACCTTGACCCAGATAGTCATGAAATTGTGGAGAGTCGTGTATGACACATTGATTTTCGATCTTAAATTTTTCATATATGGAATTTTGTTTAACTGAGACGTTGGTTGTCAGACTTTTTTATAGATCAATTTATTTTTTATTTAAAAAATATGGATGCAAGATAGAAGGTTTTTCTTTCTCTCTATCAGGGTCTGTCTGGTATTTCATCATGTGGCGTTTATAAATTAAACGGATGAGAAAAATATCTAGGTATAATATCCATACCAAATAGAACCTGCAGGCAGCGGCTGAAATTACTTTGATCGCAAAATTTGAAAAAAAAAGAAAAATAAAAAGTCTTATGGCCCATTTCAGTGTCAGTTACACTAATGCATTGTAATGACATTTGATTTAACAATAAACTGTTTTAAATCTCGTAACCTTTACGTACTGAATAATGGGTCCAAGATTAAATGGGATAATAAAAAAGAGCAGTTGTCATTAGATGGTTTATTTATCCTATACACTCGAAGGGCGTTTGTGAAAACTTTAAAAAATTGCTCTGAATAATCTAGTGATTGCGAAAGGTCAACTGCATGGTGCACACTCATTAGTAACAAACGTTTCTCTGATGGAGAGTACAGTTAGATCTCGTGAATTTGTGCGTATTGCCAAACTTGGCGTACGCCGGTCAAAATCGTCCATGTTGCCTCTTGTAACACTGTACAAAACATGAACTGTGTATTGCACCTCGAAAACAACTTTTGATTGTAGGGCGGCAGTGTTAAATAATGCCGGCGGTGCAGTCGACATTGGCGTTAATATTCCATGAATTCCCCATATCGGACCTTAGTATCTGACTCCACCAGTAACGCGGCCCCGTTCTTGCTCTCGTCCTCGACCAGGTCAATGAATGCATTGGCCACAGTGGCGGGGCTGAAATAAATTATAATGTAAATTGTAATGTAAATTATATTTATTTATTTATATTATAGTGTAAAACGTAAGGTGAGATTGTGTGAAAGAGATTTATTATTTATCACGGTACATGTTTCGGACTCGTTGAGATAATAAGATTGATATAACACCGTTTCTCAAGCGTCTATGCGTCAACATTGTTCATTAACAGATTGACACAATGTCAAGCGAGAAAACCGATCGAATTTCAAACGTGTTTTAAAAAATCAGTAGCGCTTTTTAATCGATATTTACGGAAGTTTATTGAAGCTGCTAGTATTTCAGTCTCGTTGATATAGATACAGTATAGCGTTAAAAAAAATAATAAATTTATCCATATTAATCCAATATGATCTAACTATTAAAGCGTTCATCGCATGCCATGGTTTCACCGAGTTTAGTTCCACTCACTTTATAGACTTAATATGGGGCAGGTCCTCGGCGAAGAGCTCTGGCTGAAGAACCCCCTTCTCCTTCAGGGTCTCCAGGTTCAGTGACCGGATGAAGGGCGTGTCCGTCATGTCTGGACATAGACAGTTCATCCGTACCAGATGGTCATCATAGTCTAGACTGTACTGGATATAGAAAAAATACAGGTATATGGAAAATGCTGTTTGAACATCTCGAATAGTGAGGGATGTAGTTATATTAACTGTGCATTGTTGCATATTAGATGTCGCATTTATTTATAAATTTATTTAGTTATCTCTTTATGAATTGTGCTTGTTACCAATGTATTTATTAATTAACTCGGGAACAATCCAATCGACTAGTCAATTACCCTGCACCTAACCACAGTTCAACACACTGTAACAAAACAGAAAGCATTCACAAAAAGTTGATCTGCGGAATAACTAGTCCGCGTATCAAATATGGCGCGCACTTGACAAGGCATTCCCGCCTCCCACGTGCACCGTCCAGGCAGGGGCAGAGCAATTAGATCTCGTGGCAATTACATCAAGTGGCGCCATATTTGATCCGCAGATCTGTTAGTCAGCGGATCGACTTGCTCTGAATGAGCCCTCATAGACTGTAAAATACGGCATATCTATACTAACCCCCCATGCTCTGGTGAACCCTACGATGCCAGCTTTAGAAGCACTGTAGACGGGACTGTTGTCATTGGGATCCAAGCCTGCATAGAAAGGTAAAATTGTTTCTTAATATTCCAAGTAGTCAGTGTGCCGGGTAAGCATTTAGTTTACCAGTAAGTGCCTTAAACGCATTTTCCGTGATATCTTCCTAACGGAGGAACATTAAATATCAATAAAATGGTCGGAATTGATTTTTAACGCAAACATCAAATGGACGCACCGCTTCGTCGTACTTGGGTCAATACCCAAGTATAATTAATTTAGGCTTCTAGTAACCAATATTTCATGTTTACTAGTATGATTACCTGCCATGGAAGCTGAGTTTATAATAACTCCTCCGTTTCCTCCTCTGTCTTTCCTCATGTATTTCATGGCCGTGTTGGCGACTCGTATGATGCCCAACTGAACAAAAAGTGAAACATTTTGCAAATTTTCTTTTTGCACAAACTATTGAAATTTTGAGTTAGTCAGATATACGCGCAGATGACAATCTGACATCTTTTTCAGATCGTACTGACGTCACTGGGAATGTGTGACGTCACTTGGTGTGTGTGACGTCATGTAAAAAGATGTCAGACTGACGTCGAAACGTATCTTTGAGTACCTTTAAGATTTGCTATCTGATATCTTTTGGAAACTGGCTAACTTCTTTCAACAAATGAAGCGAGGCATTTGACGAGATATGTAACGGGAAAAGCTTCTCAGATGCAGATTAATGTTTATCTTCTCTATATGTAGAACTTCACTTGTCAATTTCTCTCTTTCAATTTATGCTGTAAAATATTACCCAACAAGCTTTTTGGTCTCGCGAATCAACCAATTGACCTTTACAACAAATACTCACCAGGTTGACGTTGATGCAGTATTCGTAATCTTTCTCATTGAGAATCCCAACATTGTTACCAACAATGTCAATACGGCCATACCTGTCCACCGTATTTTTAATTGCATCTAAACAGAAACAGTTAAAAACTTGAAGTGAAAACACAAAATTTTGATTTACTGTATTTCTGCGTATTTTTGCTTTTTTTTTCTTCTAAATTTCGAATAGTGACATCGCAATCAATCTCCCCTTTGCTGTTCATATACAGAGACTAAGTGAGATAAAACCATACTATAAGAATCCAGCACGTTGATAAATCACTATATCATTTAAATATTTTATGATATTTACTTATAGGGTGCGTTCACAATGAATCTATGGGACCGTTCACATGGAAAGTCTATTTTCTAAAAATCTATTTTCTATTTGCGGTATCTTGTGATCACGGTCTGTGCCCTGAATATCCCGCGGCGTAATTACTGGCAGCGCGAGCCGTGATCACAAGATACCGCGAATAGAAAATAGATTTTTAGAAAATAGACTTTCCATGTGAACGGTCCCTATGGCACCAGCTAGTGCGCACTTACGCCTCCTCCTGGGGTCGAGCAGAATACAGAAAAAGCTTGCGTTTATACGAGTACGACGGAAACAAGCGGGGGCGTGTTAGTCTGCTGATCCGGTTGCATTCAGCAGGAGTCCCCGTGGAGTTAGTGCGCAGTGGCTCGTACGATAGATTCATTGTGACCGCACCCGTATATTTATTACCATGACGACAAAGGAAAATTGTTTCCCTTTTACTCACTTTCAACGCTATCTGTCAGAGTTACGTCGCATTTTGTAAATAATACATTTTCTTCGCCGTACAATTTCGCAAAATCTACTTCGACTTCTTTTCCTCGATCAGAATCTCGTGCCGCTATTACAACCTATGATGAAACAGAATATTAAGAATAATAAGAGCAAGAAGTTAGATATCAAGGAACTTGACATTTTGTTTGTTTCTACTGGTACGCGTGAGCCGAGGGCAGTGTGCTCACGCACGTGGAGAGTTTGTGTGAAGATGAATATTTAAAATAAAACAGAATATGAAATAAAAATTATAAAACATTCTGATGGGAGGATATTTATATTTTTTATATTTTTTATATTTATATTTTTTTAACTTTTTTTCCGAGCTGCATCTTTGTTACTCTTACATCCCGTGTTTAACAGTAATGACGATGACTACTCTACAGTGCACTTCCGGTGCTCCGTAACAGTATTTAAAGGGATAATAACTCTTCGTATGAGATCTATATTTCACAATAAAAACATTGTGAACAACTCGTGGAAATATAATATATTCTGTTGTACCACAAAAACGGCAGTTATAGCTATTATTCTGATATCTGAGCTTGTCTTTAGACCACGTGACCTCCATTGATGGCTATATTCTGTTATAATCTCTTAAGAGATTATAACAAAATAGCATACTTTTTAGAAAAAAACAGGGACTAACTTTGAATGTAAAAATGGATTCATTAATCATATGTAAGTATGGGAAAATTGTTGTTTACTCCAGGAAAATTTATTTTTGGCCAAAATGAAGAGTTATTAACCCTTTAAAAATTTTGTCTAGGCAAGGAGATCGGAATGGCACAATTCGGGAGACGCGGAGGGCCCCTTACCTTTGCGCCCTTTTTCAGCAGCGCGTCCGCTATGGCGTGCCCTATACCCTGTGTACCACCTGTGACAAACGCTACCTTACCATGAATGAGACCGGTATCTTTGCTGCAATATAACACATTAAAACCTTGAAATAATGCATCAATAAACAGACAATTATTTGTATCTGACATAAATGATGCGCAACGATATTTATCAAATAAACGGTTCTTATATGGGGTAAAAGATGACGTCCTGAATGGAGATTTTTAGAATTATACAGCCATCATATAATTGCCAAGTATCTCTCTCTCTCTCTTTCACGGTCCCATAATTTTCGTTCATTCCCATCTGTTACGCTCAGGTGATGATGATTACGAAGCCTTAAGGAGAGCTTTAACAATGGCTGTTCACATAGCGGGAAGGAGAAACGACTCCCAAAACCAGTCCTTAACTATAACACAAGTAGCAAAAAAGTGCATTTTCAAACGTTTTCTTTCGTTGAACTATCGTCACAAAGAATAAAGATAAAAACATATCTAAATGTGTTGATAGCTGTATTTTATATTATATACCGTCCACTACGGCCAATTAGAGAACGTTTTCATTAAAAGTCCACAGATATTTTACGCTGGCTATTCACTAGCTGTACATCATTGTGTTGGGTGACGATTTTTTTTCAGTAGAGCTACGTCATCACAGACCTCAAGCATAGAGAGCATACTAAATTAACTGAGCGCAACGGTTCACCTACTACCCATATAATGTAAACACCTTACCTGGCGTCCGTGTGACACACTTTATATGAAGGATGTTCCAGTCTAAGCTAAGCAACCTATATTCAAATGCGTAAAAGGTGTGGCGTGTTTCATTTGCTTCTTTGACATCCTACACTACATATGTAATTACCTACATATACATCGGGGTTGGGGATACTGTGCTTATTTGTATGGGCCTCAATTGCACCCCACAATATCACTTTATAAAGAATTAGAGAGATGAAGTGCACAACCCGCACGAAAATGCAGTAGTATCGAAGTAGCAAAGAAGCATTAACGCAGTAGTGGTGTGGAGCATATTTGCAGTAGAAATGCAGTATAGCCTACTGCGATTCTACTTCAAAAATTACATAGGTTTGTACAGAGGAGGAGCATCAATGCAATAGATTAGCAGCATGATAGAAGCATGTTTCAAATATGCTAATTAGCTCCCCAATCGAAGCAGATTTGAAGCATGTTTGCAGTATGATTGCAGTAGTCTACTGCGCTGGAGTATCTACTTCGTTTTCGTGCGGGAACCTACAGCTTATCGTTGTTTTGGTGAAGAGAGTGTATGTGCACATGTAGGTCGGGAGGTAAAATTATATATTTAAGTCTATCTCTCCGTGAAACCTCCCTATATATAGGATCATGGAAGACTATAAAACTCAGTAAAGCCAACGAAACACCCTAATGCTAAGATATTAATTAATGTCTATGAATAATAACACACGTGTGAATATGTGGATTCACTTACCGGGGTACCATATGCTGAAAACTGATCATAGAACACACAGTGGAATTAACACGTGCCCGTCACCCCACCCCGCCTCCACCCCGCCTCCCACGCCTCCATGCCACCCCCGCAATCCCCGACTCCAGTCTTACCTAGATTTTTGAGATATCAGGACGCCATATAATAAAGCAAAGATAATCGGGGCGACAACCAGCAATACGCGATAGGAAGTCTTCATTCTGCCGAATGGTCGCCAGTCGCACTAAACACGTTTTGCATGATAAAGACGACGATGGTCCTAGTGAGCGCGGTTTGGGCTTCCTTTAAACTAGAGAGGATATAACCAATTAGAAATAAGTAAACGTGGTTGTGTAATCCTATTCAACTCCTCTCGTCTGAGAAATGACTGTTCCCCACTATATAGTGATTGTCCACAAATAATATGTAATATAATTATATGGTAATAATAATAATAATAATAGTGAATGTCTGGGACCAGGGCCCTCTTTCTCTGTCACTTTTACAATTTTGGCTCATTTTTCATCGCACGCTTGCTACCCGCATCCCTAAAGTCTTTGTTAAGTGTTAGATTGGAAGATTTATTATACGGGGACGTGAATAGGCGTCTCCTTAACGTAATGGCGGGACAAAGTCTTCACCTGTCGTAAAAAATGAAATATATGCATGAATTATACAAAACAATACGGATGATGCACTGGTATAAGTAAATGAAAAAAATAAAACGAAATGTATAAATGGTGGACAAATATTAGGCTTTTTGGAAGAATGAATGAATGAACGAATCAATGAACGTGACGAATAAATAAATAAATAAATAAATAAATAAATAAATAAATAAATAAATAAATAAATAAATAAATAAAAATACACTGGAAATGTCAGTGGCAGTTCATAGAACAAAAGGCATGCTTCCCAAAAAGTAACAAATGGCTACTTTTTGTCAACGGCGGTTGCTTCATATGCAAGTGTAATATATCTGTTTTATCCGTGATCAAAGTGCACTGTCAAAAACAACTGGAGTCCTTTTGCGAACATTCATCAGTTCTCAATCTGAAATCTGAGGCCATCTGTGAAACGGTCACCAAACCGTTCATAGTATTGCGCTGTTGGTAGCTCAGCCGATTTTCCCTAGTGTGCGCCTGCCTTAGGGTGTGTCGTCACGCTTGACCACCGGTTTACTGATGGACTGAACCAGAAATGACCATCTGTTTGCGTCCCTACAGAGGACAGTACACTTCTTACTGAGGAGTAGGCCTTTGATTGGTGTGCGGTGAAATACGTGTGTGGAAACTTTTTTAAATTGTGAGAATATAAACTTTATTTTGATGGAGGAACACGGAGAAACGTGTTTGGAACAAACCCATTTAGTAAGTACGGATCCTTGTGTTTGGCTACAATGTGTAATAAGCCTATATCTATTGCACGGGATTTGATATAAATGACTGATTGACGCAGATTGACTGATTGTCGCAGTATAATAGATAAGGTGCGCCAAATAGATAGTAGAAACATGCTCACTGTGTCTTTTGTACTCACTGTCGTCCTTATAGATAGAAATATGGCGAACGCATTGCTCCTATCAGCTTTTGGAATACCCCAGGTTTGTCCCTCGTTAAATTCGTTCAGTCGGTGGAAGCTGTTCGAATCTTATTCAGTCATTTGTAATTCCAAATTTATAAACAAGCTACAAAATTAACAATTCTCTCCAAGGTACATAAAGAAGACATTCCCGTGAAAAAAGTTTACTCGGGAGCAGATTATGATGTACTATTTGAGCCTGATGTGTATCTTAGCGATCAATATAGCGACTTCGTGACGTCATCATCCTCAGAGATCACAGCAATCATGAACCGTCTTCACGAAGTATATAGCACAGGTACGTCGTTTTCTTTCAGACGCTTATGAAGCAAGTGCTCATGTCAAATCATTGCCGCCAAACTCAACCAAATGCCAACAGTATGTCAAATAATGTAATATAAATCATGTTCAGATAGTGTATTTGGAAAACTAAGAATGCAAAAAGTTCTTGGAAACTTCGACTTTCTAAATTACAATGAAATGCGCCCTTCGACCAATTTATTCCAATTCATAACTAAACCAGTGCAAATGCTTTATAAATACATTACATAATTTTAATTTTAAGTTAAAACTTCTGCACACAGAGATCGTGGTTAGTTTTCAAATAATATACGGTGTGTTTTCCCTCCAGGAAACATCAAGGGACAGAGACTACTGGACATTGGAACAGGACCTTCTCTTGTCAACTTGATAAGTGCTTCTAGATGCTTTGAAGAAATTTATCTCTCAGATTTTTCCACCGCTAACAGGGATGCTCTGAAAAAATGGCAGAAGAAAGAGGAAAGAGAAACTTGGAGTTGGGAGTCTTTCTTTCGTCATGTGGCGAAGTTAGAGGGAAACGAGTGAGTGTAATTGTATATCTGAGATCTTTCTTGGATATTATGTCAGCAACTGATTTGAAGAATGTGATCTATGTCTGGTTTGAGGAAATGACACTACCAACAGGCCATTCGCCTTATCTTTAAAGTACGGTCACAGCCAAATGAGATTCAAGTAATACTAATTTAACATCACTATATGCATGTTTAAAGCAATGACAGCATGCTTTATAAAACTGTAGAAGTGAACAGTTTTTTGTTCACATTTTCAGAGACAGTTGGAACTCGCTACAAGATGAATTCCGAGATAAAACAAAAGCCGTATATTTCTGCGATGTGAACAACGCCAACCCGTTAAGTCCCGTGGATACGTCCCCTTTTGATACAATCACCACCAGCTATTGCTTGGAGACTGCGTGTCAGAACGAGGGGGAGTATCGGCAAGCAATGAAAAACGTTGCGTCGCTTCTGAAACCAAGGGGGTATTTCATTATGCTGGCAGGGTTGAAGGAAACTTATTATCTGGTTGGAGGTAATAACTGGCGAACGCTGCCCCTGCAAGAGGAACAATACAGAGATGCTTTGCAAAAGGCAGATCTGGAAGTTGTTTCGTGGCATCCTATTAAACGCCAAGAGAATGTTTTGGATATTGAGTCCGACTATGTCGGTTGCTTTATTGTCGTTGCGAGAAAGAAGAATGGTCCTTAAAAAAAAGCTGTTAACCTGTTTAATGAACATTCAACTGCATTCCCTTTTAAAATATGAATGAATAAATGGATATTGAAACTAGATTATTATTATTATTGTTGTTGTTGTTGTTGATGATGTTGTTGAATCGTAAAAAATCTGATAACAATTTTCACTTTTGTGTTGTTGGGCTCGTCTCTATCGAATTAATTATAAGTAATTTCAGATAATCATCAGCTTGATTTAAAAAGAAGAGACATTTTCAGTGTGGTTTGCCCAAATGTTTGATATTGTGACAAACTATTAAAAACATTTGCTGATAGAGCAAAACCTAAAATTACCTGCTTATTTTCCCCTCGGCGGCGCGCCATTCTTAAAATCTAAAATTGAGCTTTATTTCATAGGTTGTATTATGAGATTATGAGTTATGCAGTTCTCTGAAATAGAAACTAATATGTGGCATTAATTTTAATTGGAAAAAGCCATCATAAAAAGTGATTTGGTAGGCAATATTATTTCATCTATAATATTCTGAGGTGCTATATTTATATTTTTGTGTTGACAAGTATGTGGGATAACACAACAAAGATGCATTCCAACAAAAATGGTCTTCATTCGGTGTGTAACACTACATCGTTAAAACCCCCAAATCTACCAGGGATGCTGTCGGCGCTTTTTTTTTCTAACAAATACATGTATATAAAACATTACTAGAGAATTGATGAGATGAATATATCGATTGATTATTGATCATCACTTGAAGGGGAATTCCGATAGGCAATTCTTATACAGATTATAGAGAATACTCATATAAACAATAGGCTTCATGCGTTACTTTGGGTTAATCTTATTACTTCAGTTAAGTGTTTTCAAATACCTACCAAATTTATGTGCTCTCCAACAAAATAAACAATTTTTCTCCTAAGCGTCAAGGGTCATTTCGTTACCTTTAACAAATAGTAGAAATTTAGTTTTCTCATTGAAGAATGCAGGCTTATCTGCGCGAGCCCTCAAATCACTGAAAATAAGTGCTTTTCTTTTTCTT